ACATCACTCCCTTTCTGCCTCTCTAGAGATGTTTGTGTAGAAGCAGCTAAGAGTGATTGACAAGCAGACATATAGACAGAAAAATCCTTATTGGAGGCAGGGGACAGGAGGGTGCAGTATAATGTTTCATAGATTATATATATATATATGCTTCCTCCATTCACTCAAGGAGAATACTTACTACTCAGTAATAAGCTTTTGCAGGGCAATCTGCATGTTCTATAAAAGTCTTTCACATGTTCGGGGCAGCAGAGAGGTGGCTCAGGGTGCTGTAGTTGTGGACAAGGCATGAGTTAAGGGTGAAATACAGGTGAATGGGACAAAAGAATTTCTGTGACTAAATGTGATGGCTCAGGTGCAGTAAAGCTTAGGTCTTGCAGAAGCTTCTTGCAAGATTTTGCCTAAAAACCTGAAGTTTTGTGTATCGATTATTGGTGTGGTTGTACCAGCTGCCTTGGTCTAAAAAAAATGTTTGATGCAGATTTCTTCTGCTGTAGAAAAACATAAGAGTAGATTTAGAAACTGAGTTCTGAATCCAATTTTCCATTTTTTTTTCTCCACTTCTCCCTTGAGTTTGGGAAGAATTAGTATTTTAGGCTATTTTCCTGAAGAATTGTTTGATCATATGTCTCTCTGTCTGTCCACCAGTCCTTCTGGATGACTTGAGGACCTGCTGGAGCCCTCAAGTGTAAACCTCTCAGAGGTATGAAATTTCTGTGGTTTTGTGAAACCTAGTAGCTGATTAAAGAAGGACCCATGTGGTGCCAACCCGATAAGAGAGGGAGCCCCTTATCTCAGTGAGGAGGAGCTGGATGATGCCAGCAATAATAATTCCTACATGTACTTGCATTTGCTTCCAAAAAGAGGGTGAAAATGGTGGGGGGCTGGTGTGTATGGGAGCAAGACTGAAGACTAGGAGATACGGTATCTACATCTTGTTTGACTTCCTGATTTCCCCTGCTCAGGGTGTATCTTGATTTTCATTCTGTTTCCTTTGCTGCCTTTTTCGTTTGTTTGTTATTATCATCTATCAAGTTTATCATTATGTGTTCATGCACATAAAATCTTTATTAGCCATGCATATTCTCTATTCTCTGTTTTAATTTTCCTTCTTTCTTTGTTAACAAACTCTGCTGATAGCAGATGTTTCCCATTTGACAGCACCTGAGACTAAGTTTTTCCAGCCGTGCAACCAAATGAGTGCTGGCTCCTTCCTCTGGCCGCCTCACTGTGTGGGATGGGGCCATCCCCTGGTAGAAGCAGGGGATGAACCTGCCCTCCCGACCAAACCTGGGGTCACAGTGCTCCTTGAGGTCAATAGAACAGAAGAGAACTAGAAGTTGGGCCATGATCTTAGGTGTGGTTATAAACAGGGGTGAACACCATCCACATCCTTGTGCTTGTTTGGGTCTCTTTGAAGTGAATGGCCAAAGGAGAGGTGAATCAGGATCAGTGTTGAGACCGAGAAGGTTCTTTGTGCTCTGTGTCCCACTTCATCTGCTTTCAAAAGCCCTCAAATGGTGGTTAGATGTTGGCCACATCTGCTTCCCACCAGCTTGGCTTGACTTGGCCCCTGCACTGACAACATCAGAGAATGTATTTCCTCACCAAATCTGAGGGTTAGTGCTCTCACCCCCAATGTAAGTGAAAATTGGGTAAAAAGGATTTCAGGTGCGTTACACCAGTTTTCCTAAGTCAAAATGCTGCATTGATACCTTCTACGAAAGGACCCAGTCCACTCCTCCGGTTTTAATGATAGGTCCATTTCTTAAAACATACCTTGAACAGTAAGGGACAATGAAATTGTGTGGACATGTGTCCGTGTTATTGCTGGGCACTGTGAACATCCTTTCCTTTTGGACAATGATAGAAGAATGTTTCTGCACCAACATCCTTCCTGACAAATTCTTCCCTAGAGAGTCTTCTAAGAGATTATTCTGCCTTCGACAGGGGTAGTGAATAAATCATCTTCTGGCCCAAGCCTTTTGTGATCCTTTATTCTTAACACATGTTCTAGAATATCAGTTTAAGGGACACCAATAAAGCGTTTGCCCTGTCCATGTGGGAATGGCATAGCCTGTGATTTGTGTCCTCTCTCCTCCATACTTCAGAAACCCTCTGCATTTTTTTCAACCTTGTTTTCCGGTAGGGATGAGAGTTTCTTTTCAGGCACTGGTGTTAGCTGGTGTTTGGACTTGAGTGTCTACAAAACTGTAAACCACTCCTTTTCCATAGGGGAAAAATCTTTAAATCCAGATTCTGGGACTTGCAGAGATAGACATTGCAGCCTAGTTGATCCTGTGAAATGCTCCTAGTCACGAGAGCAGTACTTGCACTGGGACAGAGAGCACTGGGACCACCACTGACCACAAAAGAGTAACTGCTGTGATCTGGAGAAAAGTAAGAGCAGATGAGATATAATCAGGAAACAAACCTTTGGGACATCTTTCACTGGGTCACTGTTCTTACTGGTTCCCAGTTTGTCATTTTGCCACTTGGTCTATATAATGCCTATTTAAATAAACAGAAGACTTTTTTTGGCTAATTTCCCATAGTTACTCCTCAAAAAGGGTAGCTCCAGGGAAGTTGATAGCAGGGATGCAGAACACACAGACAGCAGTAAAAAGATCTCAATCAATGTGCCTGGGGCAAAATCCTTTCTGAAAGGGTAGAAGTTTCCAAGTCAGATCCCAAAGCACATCGCGTGGGAGAGGTACCTAGATGTTCATAAAATAAGAGTACAGGAGGGCTGGAGTCAGCCATGGAGATGAGCATCTGAGTAAGAACCACAGTAAAGGCCACTGGCAATTGAACAAGTTAGTCAGATGGACAAAGATCCTAGAGGCAAGACCAAGTGCCTCAAACTTTTAAGACAGGGAAGAGGAGGTGGCTGAGAAAAGTCTTGCTGTTCATGCCAAATCAGCCTTTTCATTTGCTGGCTGCTCATTCCTTGTACCACTGAGGTGTGCTTTCCTTATTCAATTGAGGGGGGCTCTTCCCTCCTGAAAAGCTGCTTTCATTGTCAGCCAGCATCATGGTTTATTACAGTGTCATTTTCAGATTACACCAAGAATGCAAAAGCAAAAGATGCGTATGCCATGTCTCATTTACTCAGTCACAGAGTCGTTCAGGGGCATCTTCTACCTGTGCTGATCATCTTTAAGCAGTAGATTGGGCTGCAGTCCTGGAAATGTGCCACATATTTCTTAGCGTTGCAGCCACTGTAGTAGTGAAGATGGGGACAAGTCCTGAAGGATATGTCAGTGAAAGCCTCCACAAATCACAAGATCTAGTTCTACTACTCCATATAATTAGCGATTAAAATGAGCAAAAACAAAGCAGCAATTTTCTTATTGATCCCTCAGCAAATAGTTCTGTCTATTTTCTTCTGTATTGTTTCTTCTTATTAAATAGCCTTGAATAAGAAATGTCAGTCAAATGAATTTAGATTCCTGGTGCTTCAGACAGAAATCAAAGCAGGATTGAATGAGGAAAGATAATTAGAGAGAGGAATTCCACCTCCACAGACTTCTTCCCTTGCTCAAGGAGTGCTGATTTTATCTAAATTGCCAAAGCCGTGAGCAAATGAGAGGTGATGGGAATTATAGACTGCAGATGCTGAGACAAAGCAAGAGAAGCTTTAATTAGTGCATTTTAAGGTAGAAATGGATTTCCTGGGAATAAATTATTTGACTCAAGACATATGGAGCTTCTTGGAGGTGAACTGAAAAGCTTTTTACCTGTCAGAACCAGAACTCACAGGTTGTATCTGTCTTGTAGAAATGAGTGATGCATCACCGGGGTCTGAAGCACATGGGAATGAATCCTCCTTTCCTTTGCATCTCACTTTTTTTATTTAATATGGAGGAATTCCCACTGCTGCAGATTCTCACCAGTGCAACAGTAAGCAGAATTGTTCCCAATACCCACATTTACTCATTCAAGTGTTAGTGGTGGACCTACTGTCGCTGAGGAATTGGGAGTTATGTATTGAACCTACAGGTGCTGAAAGGAAGTTATTTTCCTTTCAAATTCTCTTACTGTCCTTCCTGAGCTCCGTTGTCATCCTTCCATCACACTTGCACACACAGAAGGACACTGGGAACCTTACAACACTGACCTTTCTATTTTTCAGATTTCCACGGCTTTTCAAAGTGTGAGACAGTGACAGCTCTCTACTGTTAAGAGGTAGATAGAGATTCCTCTTTGAATTGATGGAGCTGAAACAAAACCATTTAGCTGGGTGCTTTAATCCAGAACTCCCTGACTTCAGCAGAATTATTCAGGCTCTTAATTATTTACATACTCTGTGTGAGGCAGTTGCTCACAAACCTTGTTGAAACAGGCAGGAATGGGGCCAGGGCCAGATCAAATGGTTATGTTAGGGGAGTGCTTACAGACCCCTGATGCAGGTGCTGCCCAAACACAGGATAAAACGTTTTTGCCCATCCAAGAACAACATTATTCTCCTCTCCTCTGAAAAACAGAAATGAAAGCACATTGAGAGGCTGGCAGATGGACAGGCCACCCCAGCAGCACCTTTCCAACAGCTTGGGGTTTGCTGGCAGTGCTGGTCTACGTGAGATATGAGTATGACCTGGAAAATCACCCTGTCCTCCCTTCCTGGGGTGAACCACCACTCGTGGTCTTCCAAAAATACTGCTCTGTTCCTGGCCGAATGTGTAACAGTGGATGGGTAGAGCAGAGGTACGAGGCTTCAGCTCGGTCTTTTTGACAAAGGGGCCTAAAGTCGCATGAAAGCTAAAAAACCCCACACCCTCTCTGGGAAAACAAGTATCATGCTTGCTGGTTTTTCTAATGTTCTGGTTGCTTATTTCAGATGTTGCTATTTTGTCCTATAGGTTCATTTGTATTACCCATGATGAATGAATGCAGTCAAGAGGTATTGAACGCTGATGTGTTTATCTTATGGCAAGATAGAAATGTTGCAAACTTGTGAGCTACAGGAGGAAATGGGCTAATTTTAGATTTGTTCCTAGCCCTCGCCATGTGAATGGTGTCGCTGTGAGCCCAGCAATGAAGTTCACTGTGTTGTAGCAGACTGCGCAGTTCCCGAGTGTGTCAACCCAGTCTATGAACCAGAACAGTGTTGTCCGGTCTGCAAAAATGGTAAGAAAGTACTGTATTGGCTTTAACAAAGAGATATAAAGGAAACATTTCATGAAAATGTTGTTAACTGATGCATCCCCAGGAGATTTGCTTCCATCAGTGCAGGCTGGCGTTGGGGCTGTTACTTCTCCTTGTGCGTGGGCTTCAGTTACGAGGTGGCAGTTGTGAAAATCAAGGCTGCCCTTCCCGGCCTGTGTCTTCTCATTGAAGCTGATGGGATTGTTGACTTGAGTGAGGCTTCATAGGATTGAGTCCTGATATCGGTGATAGTTGTTTCATGTCTTTTTAGTCTAACATAAAATCAGGTATATAATAAAAGAGAGTCTTTGTCCCTAAATTAAGAAGCCAATGGTTATCACCTAAGACCAGGGAAAACTCACCAAAATCAGTTGCAAAACTTCCACTGGGGACAGTAAGACACCCACCAAGCCTGTAACATCCTTAATTGTGTGCTGGAGTCTGTGTGTGTAGGGTTGGCCCTCATTGTCCTGCTGAAACGATTTCATGAATTGGAGTCTGATTCAGCAATACTTTCAAGAAAGGTTTTGAGATGACTGAAAGTACCTCTTTGGAAAATAAATCTGCTTCCAAGAAGGTCTCCCTGGTCTTTTACTTCAGTCCGTACACACATATGTCTCTGGAAAAGCACCTTTCTCCTAATGTAAATATGAAGACAGATTAAAAGGTGAGCTAGCTTCACATAAACCTCTTCATGGCTTTCTTAACATGTAAGAAATGGCTACTTGGACTCATCTTCTTGTGTTTAGAGTTCATATATATTTCCTTTTACATACATCACTGCTGCTGGATAAGAGTAATGGTTGCTTTTTGATCTAAATGAAAATGTTTACAAAGAAATAACATTTTCAACACATTTTCTGCTCTTTAAGACAGAGAAAAAAGCAAAGAGTTGGAAATGCAAAATATTTTTACTAAAGGAGTTAGCAAAATTAAGACTGGTCTGGAAAATTGTATCAAAAATTCTACTCGACATCCTGAGGTTTATATTAAATCATGATTTTTACTAAAAAATATTTTGAAAGGGTTTCCTTTAGAGTTTTATGTTTCTATTGAAAAGCAGAAAATGTTCATAGGAAATTTCATTGGTTTGTTGTTGTTATTGATGAACTTCAGAGAAAAGGTACGTTAACCAGCTCTCTCCACCACTCACCTTTGCATATGGCCGTTGCGCTTGGGTGTGAGGTTTCCCATCGCACTCAACAAGATTGATGTCAGGTTGATGACTGGAAGGGGTAATGCTGGCCATCACCGTGCCTGGCCATCACTGTAGCTCAGACTCATTTACACCCAAACAAGTGCTGCTCATGTGTGTTTGGCCTCTGTGTTCCCATTGTGTATGGGGTACCATGCTGAATCCCCCTCATTTATGGTGGCAGCACTCGCAGATTCCTTCTCATCTGGTTCACATCACATGAACCCAAACTCTGAGCATCGCTTAGGCTTCCCAGCAGTGCAGACTCAAAGGTGGCTTCATACAGGTCCAGGAGCTGCTGGGTTTCCCTACCAACCCTTCACCACCATGACCATTTCCCCCAGTAACCAGACACTTTGGGGTCGGTGGCTTTCTGTGTGGCAGTCCCCAACATCCCTGGTGACTGGGAGTGGACAGCATCTTTCTTCGAAACAGTCAGTGCCCATATAACCAACAGGAAAGGGAAGGAAGCAGCTCCTGCTCATGGGAATGAGCACAGGAGGACACAAGGAAAATTGGACACCTGCTGAAGGGTCTCTGGGGCACAATGTAATTATTGGAACTCTCAGCTAGAAGCCAGGAAGCTTCCTCCACAGTTTTGCCAAATTTCTCCATTTCTTTCTTCACTCATCTGTTGGAGATACAGATATAAAGTTCTCAGAAACCTGTTTTAGGCAGGGGAGTATTTTTCACCATCCTCCTAAGAGCATTCTGCATGCCTTGGGGATCCTGGTCTCTGGGGCCAGGGTGACCAGGGCTTGCAGCACAACTCTGAGCATCCAGCAGTGGATAAAGGGGAGAGGCAGCACAGTGGTGTGGCTGGCTCTTCCTTGGGATCAAGGAGGATAGGGAAGCTGAACCCCTCCTTGCATCCCAGCCTGTCTGTAGGAATGAGATGTGAGACATCCCAGTTGGGAGAGCTTTCTGCTCCTCCTCCTGCAGTTGTGACTGGCTAATAGTTGGCCACTGCTTGTAGTTTTGGCTTTATCCTTTGCAAATGAAATTCAGTAGTTCACACAGTGACAGAAATTAGTGGGTGCCAGGGTAGTCTCCGTTATCACAGGGAATCTGATGAGCAGATTTTGTTACTGCTCTTGGACATGGCTCCGAATGTGGTGCACACCCTTTGCCTCCCTCTTCTGTTTTGGGAACTTCATGTGAAAGAATAGCAGTCATTGCTGTGTCTCTTTCAGCCCTGAATCCCTCTGACACATCCTAGTGAATGAGGATCACAACACTTTAAGCTGTCTGTTCATCTTGAGACCCAGATTTTGACTCTCCACTGCAGCCAGTCAGTTAGAGCTCAGTTTCACAAAGGCATGAAGATAACACAAGCAGACAGACCCACTTAAATGACTTGAAAACACACCCACCCCTTTTTAAAATTTATTTGGTTTTTCTTCCTTCCAACCAATAGCTTTTGCTTTCTACCAAAGCGGTGAAGACAGTTAAAGCACCATGTTTCAGTGTGACGAAAAGATTTTAACTTAGGTTCAGTCCCCGTGGTCATCATTTTAGAAAGGCAAACAGAAGAGCTCAAGGAATACAACTGTTGAGGGGATAAAAAGTGTTAATCCCCAGAACAACATGTAGTGCAAATCCTCATTTCAGAAGCTACTCCTTAAAATTTTGGTAAGGAAAATCTTCATTTTAAGTTAAAACACAGCCCTGCATCATTTGCTGCACTCTGCTAGCAGCATAGCTTACCTGCTTGTTTAGCTGTTGCTGCCATTAATGGGAGAATAATTTCCTCTGGATACATTCAGATAGATTTTCATGCCTTTCTTAATTATGCCTTGCCAAGGGCAAAAGTGCTGTGTAGCAATGAGGTTAATGCAAAAATCTGTTGATTCTAACATACCTGACCTGAAGATTCATAAAAAGCCGATATCAATTTCCCTCCCTCTACCATCATTTAAGAGCAGTCTGAACAAGTGGCTTTGCAGATTTATTCCTTATTGTCAAAAGAAATAGAATTGTTATCTTGTGTTTCACTAAATGCTGTAGCTCATGCAAAGCTGGCTCTGCTCAGCAAGGGATACTGCATTAAATGCAGAGCAGGCAGAGTTCTCTGGGTGGCTAAAATCTGGGGGGGGAGGGAGGGAGAAGACGTTTTCTCCTTCATGTCCCATTGTCCTATTTGCCAGAGTGGATTTTGAGGGCAGTGGCTCCAGGTGCTGCGTAGCATTTCCATCGTGGAGATGAAAGGTCTCTGGATTCGCATTTCCTGGTAGCAACAGACTGCAGAATTATGGCCCGGAGTTGTTATTTCTAGTCATTGTAACTTCTCCAGACAAAAGTGTGTCAGCTAGTGTTCACTTTCTCCTCTGCGGCATCCAAAGCTTGCCTATGACTGTTAAAATCAAACTCGTGGCTGCCACCATCCGTGCTATCCCTCCTGCCTTCAGGTTCTCCTGCAGTTCAGCAAGAGCATCCATTCATTCTGCTTACACCAAAGCCTTTCTGAGCAAAAATCCCCCATGAGATCTTCATCCTACTGTGTCTATGGCTGTAGATGTGTCTGTCTGGTGTTATTTTTACCTCCCCTGGGTCTTCTCACCTGACCATGAACTTTTAATTTCCAAACCTCTGCTTGTCCGTCCCTGTAAATCCAACCGCTGCTGCAGATTGAGCTTCATTATTGGTGGGACGTGTGTATTTTAAAGCCCTCCCTTATGCATTGCTGCTAGGTTGCTCTTTACGTTTCCTTCATCTCTTTGGATGTGGTCTGGCAAGGATGCAAAGACTAGGGGGGAATCTCCAGTGTATCATAACCTATGTCTTTTAATCCTGGTTTAATCTGTGATCCAGACTAAACGGGTTCCTATTCTTTGCCAACTCCAAACAACTCTCACCTACTGCTATGCACAAAGGGAGAAACTCACTGCGTTTCGCCTTGCCCAGTGCAGTTTGTTCAGAGCCAAAACCACGCGGCTCCAGTGTCCTTTTTGGGGGGTGAGTAGATGTGCTCCAGCAGGCAGTCCCCAGGTGGCCTTGGAGGTGCTTCCTCCGATGCCACGCTGAGTTAGTGACACGCTGACCTTTGTTCTAAGGGGGCTCAGCTTCACATCCCCTGCTTGCTGCTCCGTGGAAGAAAAAACAGATGCAATTTCAAATTAGCAGTGTCACAGCTGCTCAGGGAAAGGCTGGAGGCGACTGGAGGCAAGGAAAGGGCAGCGCACAGTTCCCAGTGACCCATGTTCTCCTGATTTTACAAAGTGCTCCTTCAGAATTGTATCCCAAAATAATCTCAACATTAGCAAAGATTCACCATGGGGGATTTTATGGTACAGCTGTGTCAGGGAAATTAATTTAAAAATCCCAGTAAATGCCACAATAGAATTGTTAGCTTCTCCTCTCTAAAGTGTGAAATTCTTTTCAGAGCATTTCAAAGGCGCCTTCACCCATTTACACATACATTAATACAATTGCTAAAATAGACTTTGCCTTGGCACTTTCATTTTCTTGAGGGATGAACAGAATAAGCATTATAAATTTCTGTTTTGGGGTCTGGTTTTGCTTTTAATTTAATTTTTGTTGCCACCAATCCTCAACAAAAGAATTTGTTACCCAACAAGGCAGATAAAAGCTAACATGTCCACGATGAAATACTTCCTGGCAAGTGTGCTTACTCACGTTAGCGTGGGCTTCTGGAGACATTTGTGATGAAATACTGGGCAGCAGGAAGACGTTTTGTAGATAATCTGTCACTGAGTCTTTAATTAAAGCCTTAAATTATCACAGTTGATACAGATTTCAGAGTAAAGAGTGTGATCCTGCCCACCACACACAAGCAAAAGATTCCTTTGACTTTCAATATATTTTACCTTGGTAAAATAACATGTATTCAGGCAAAGCTCTTGTGAGTATTTATTGTAATATGCTATAAATATTAATAATTTCATAGAAATATCTTCTTCATGAGGGCATGAGCACAAAAAGTGAGTAAATAATAATTATTTCCATGCATACAAAGCCACATTTTCCCTGAACTTCTCTCTTAATTTACTGAGAATATAAACTTGCTGCTCATTATTTCTCTGTTTGAGTTAATTCGAAATAAGCATTCTGCACCCCAGCCTGTTCTCTCTGTAACACAGCATGTTTTGCCCAGAAAACCCCTTAGGATTTTCCCAGCCCATCGAAGCTGAGGGCAGCCTTTCCTTTAGCAAACAAATATGCGTTACTTGTGTCCCTAAGTGAATTTTGCACACCACTGTGTAGAACAACACCGGGGGCTGACCTTCGAAGCTGCCTTTTCCTAGCAAGCAGTATGTAGAAACTCATTTTTCCAAGCAGGAGATTTTTGTAAGTCCCCAAGGGCTGAAGGGGTGTCCCTTCAGAAAAGCTCTGCTGTGGTCAACGTGGGGAGTTGGTTCTAGGACATGGGCAGGCAGCTCCCAGGCCAGGCTGTTCCTGTCGGGCCCAGCCACAACGCTGGGTGAAAAACTGGTTCAGGAACTTCATTTGCATTCATAAATTAAGCAGGGTTAATACTGATTACCACTCAGGTGGGCAGACCTCCCAGGAAAATCTAGATGCCACAGAAAGAGGTGTTGCTTCTGAATCAGGGAAACAACCAAATCGATGCCCAGGTATTGTCTTAGGGGGGCAATGCGAGGTGTTTACTTTGCAAAACCCGTTGGGATTTTAGGGTACAAAAGGCTCCATATAAATGTAAATTATTTATTGTATTTTAGGTGAAGGTAGTGGATTAACAAGTGCAAGTTGTTAACCAATACTGACAAAAAGAACTTTCCCACGTGGTCTCTTATTGTTCCAAATTATTTTGAAAAGTGCCAAGACTTTAATATCAAATAATCCAGTGCCTGGATATTAAGTTACCTGTGCTTTATTGCATAAATATAGCTTGTTATTTATCTGGAAGATGTGGATCACTGAATCTCCAGGTCATTGTTTCGGAAAGCATCTGCTTCTGTCATGATCAGTGACAAAAAAAACAGTGAAGTGTGGAAAAAAATTACCTAATGTTTGAGGAAAAAAAGGAAGGTTTTGGGGAGAGGATGTTTTGTCAGCCATTTGATTATATACAACTGTTGCAGGATAAAGGTGGCACAGAAAATGTGGCAAGAGGATGAGAGAAGACTTCATATTCATTTACTTTATGGAAAACAGTGTTTTGGAGCCATGGGGGAATTCCTTTAGAAAAAACAACTAAATAAAATTCCTCTTCTAATTTATTTCAGGAATTCCTGAAATGGCCAGATTTTAAGATTGCAGTTAAACCCCCTTCAGTCAAAGTCTATGCAATATGCTGATTGATTGTTCAGATGCAAGTTGAATGTGACCAGCCAAGAAGAAGATGTGTCACCCACGCCGGACTCCACGATCCTCTTCATAGGTCCCGAAGACTGAAGCTGGTAGCGTAGCGTAGCCGCATCACCCTTCGTTCTTGATGGATGAAGTATTCATGGCAGCCAGCCAGCTTTTTGGGTACTCAGTTGACACTCACCACCACCACCCCATTCAGATGTCAGGCTGAGGGTCACGGGAAGGACCTGCTCCTCCTCGGGCAGCGCTTGCCCAGCACGTGGGGGCTGGTGTTAGTTTCGCAGCTGACTCCGTAGCGCTGCTGTGCTGACGCAGAGATGTCACCCCAAATCAGGAGTCATCTTCCATTTTGCAGAGCCTGTAGAAGCCACTTTAACATTGTGATGACAGAGCCCAGTGCACCGAGGCTTCATGGCCAGCTGTGAAAATCAATGGTCTTGGAAGGCTGAATGCAAAAGAAAATTTCTGAGACTACAAAGGATGCGTTTTTGATTGTTTGTTGGCTAATGTTCTTTGTGTTTACCAGCAGGAGTGTAAACTGTGGTGCCCTATTAGCTCAATTAAAGGAGTGATTTGATTACCAACAGAGGAAAAAAAAGATTGATTTAAAAGCAAATAGAAGATTAAGACTGAAAACAAAGCAGTATATTTGGGGCAGTCACCAACCTGGCAAAATGCTTCAGTACTTGCTTTTTACTGTTCCTTGAAAAAAGAAGTCATTTCACTGGAATTGATTTTCAGTGGAGCTTGTTCACCTCTGTCACTTCAGGCCAAGTGGTTAAAGGCATGTAGATGCTGAAGTTGCTGATGAGAGTTAGGGTACATAAGCATCTGTCGAGAGCTAGCCCCTCCATTCTACTTGGAAATCTCACTGTTGGATTATCCAGATGCTTAAATGCCCTGCTGACTAAAGACTATGACCTGCTCCCTGTGGAGACAGCTGTTGGAAGAGTCATCTAGTAACCGTGAAAAGCTTTGGAAAGGTATATAGAGGTTAAACCTTCCAAAATTAGCCATCCTGGTGCTGGATAGCATTGGGGGGTCTGAGCTGAATTTGCCACCTCCTGAAGTTTAGGAGAACAAGAGACCAAAAGAGGCCGGGGAGAGGAAAGGCCTTTAGAGAACAAAAAAGACATGAACTGAACAGCACGTAATGTGATTAACTCTTTTCACACAGCTCAGTGCTCACACAAAGCAGTAGCTGCTGGACTGTGTAGCGTCAGAGTGACAGGGACGCTGCTGGGAAAAGCTGAATTCAAAGAGTGCTGCGGTCGGGAGCCAGTGGGGCAGCAGCCTCTTTTCACCCAACGTGTTCACCTGCATGCTTACAGGTCAGCTAATGCTTCACGAGCATTTGTGGTCTCTCCCTCTGCCCAGGAAGCAAGAAAAGGATAATTCACATATTAATCAAGGCAGAAGAAGACTCTGCCAGGCAGCTGGAGGCCAGGCAGAAGACGAAAACCACTATCCTGAATTTGTACCCCAGTTTCCTAACCATGTTTCCAGGCTTCCACCTCAGAGAGTTCAAAATGAATGTCTACAGGCACTCAGAAGGGTCAGGGAGGATTATGAGAAGTCTTTTGTTGGATGGGACTGGCTCCAAAGCTCTTATTAAGCGGACACAGCTCCCAGAGATATGGGAAACATGTTACATGGTCTGCATTGCTCTTTAAACTCAGAAATATTTATGAAGAAGCATCTGCTCACTGGTGCTTGTTTCCCCTTGGGAAAATGTTGCTGAAATTTGTGTGTGCAAGCCTATGGCAGTGGTAGATCAAGATCCACTGTCGTCATGATAGTATCTGTCTCTT